AAAACTGTATTGTGAAAATGGTTACATAACGTATGTAAATTTCCTTAAAAGTTGTTGACTTAGGGGCCCTCCCTGGTGGCACAGCAGGTAAATGCAGCACTAAGAAGCTAAAGCCACTTCAGCACAAGTTCGATCCCAGGCCCCGGAGGTGACCCACAGGCACAGCAGACCTCTCCTGTCTCCCCTCAGCAGTGTACTTCCTCAGTGGGCCTGTTCTGCTCCCCACTCTGTTTCTGGTGAATACTCTCACCGACCCTGCACCTCTGGCCTGTACCCCAGTTCTATATGCATAAATAAATAAAACTTAAAAAAAAATCATTGACTTAGTACACTTAAAATTGGGGGATTTTATGGTAGATAAATTATATCTCAATAATGCTGTTAAATATACATAAGCAAGCAGGAATAAAGACAATCATCTTTAGCCATGTCCACTAATTAAAACAAGATACAACTTTGCCTTGCACATTGGCAGAGTTAAGATTTCATTTATTTTTATTTTTTAAAGGTTTTTTTTTACTTATTTATGTATACAGAAATGGGGTATAAGCCAAAGGTGCAGGGCTGGTGAGAGGATTCACCAGAGACAGAGTGGGGAGCAGAACAGGCAGATGGACCAAGTACACAGCTAAGGGGAGCAGTGGGCGAGACAGGAGAGATCTACGGGGCCATGTGGGTCACCCCTGGGGCAGGGATTGAACTTGCACTGAAGCAGCCATGGCTTGGCTTAGTTTCCAAGTGCAGCACTCCAACTCGCTGCGCCACTAGGAAGAGCCCTTTATTAAGATTTTTTAAAATTATTACTAATGTGTATTTGTGTATTTTAGGTTAGAGTATAAAGAAATAGGGGTGATGTATTAAGTGAAAAGAAGTAACTTTCAAATTATTGCATTTATCATGTTGCAAATTATTGTATTTATCATGTATTTTTTCCAACCTCCTACCCACTGAGCTCCCCAACCTCCCCATCCACCCACCCCCTATTGTCAATAATATTAAAAATTCCATATATAGACTGGAAAGAAGACTTTAAGAGAATGCACCATAATGCACTATAGTGATTGGATTATAGATTGCTGTTATTTTGTCTTTGATTTTTCAGTCTTTAAATTTTTCTTCTTACCATGTATCCCTTTTATAAATTTAACTCATTTCTTTTTTTTTTTAAAGATTTATTTATTTGTACATACAGAACTGGGGTACAGGCCAGAGGCTCAGGGGCGGTGAGAGGCTTCACCAGAGACAGAGTGGGGAGCAGAACAGGCAGATCAACAAAGTACACTGCTGAGGGGAGCAGCGGGCAGGCCAGGAGAGGTCTGCCACGCCATGTGATCACCTCCAGGGCAGGCAGGAATCGAACTCATGCAGAAGTGGCTTCTCAGTGCTGTGCTTTAACCCGCTGCACCACCAGGAAGGCCCTAACTCATTTCTTTTTAATAATAAAAATAATTCAAATGATAGGAACTTTTTTTTTCAAGATTTATTTATTCGTACAGAACTGGGGTACAGGCCAGAGATGCGGAGGGTGAGAGGATTCACCAGAGACAGAGTGGGGAGTAGAACAAGCAGATCCATGAAGTACACTGCTGGGGGAGCAGCAGGCGGGTCAGGAGAGGTCTGCTGCGCCATGTGGTCACCTCCTGGGAAGGCGGGAATCGAACTCATGCGGAGGTGGTTTAAGCTTCTTTGTGCTGTGCTTTAACCCGCTGCGCCACCAGGGAGGGCCCGAACAATTTTTTTTATGAGAATGTTTTTAAGGTACTTGATACATATTGCAAAATCGCCCTCCAGGAAGGTTGTAATAGTTACATGTCCCCCAGCAATATACACTTTCATTTTTTAATTCAGCCTAATTTTGTTTTAGTCTGCTCATATTTCTAATCTTATTATTATCCTTTTTTATTATTTCTTTGGGGCTGCAACATCTCCCAATTTAGTGTTCTCATTGAATTTCATTAGCAGCTGTTTCATTAGTAGCACAGAAGGATTAAAGTGTTAACCAAGATAGACTTTAACAAAAGCCTATAAAAATGTATGTTATTAACTTTGCATAAGTCCTGTTTAATCAGATTTCCTCGGAAACCTCTATTTGCTACTTACCTTTTTTTTTTTTTAAAGACTGATCAATTTGCTTATAGAGGAGCTGGGGTCTAGGCTAGGATACAAGGGATGAGAGAGTTCACCAGAAACAGTGGGGAGCAGAACAGGCAGACTCACTGAAATACACTGCTGAGGGGAGCAGCAGGAGAGACAGGAGAGGTCTGCTGCACCATTATGTGGGTCAGCTCCCTGGCTGGTGATTGAACTCAGGCCCTTTGCAGTGATAATGCTGAGACTTAACGCCCTAAGCCACCAGGGAGGCCCTTATTTGGTACTTACCTTAAGTAACAGAAATGGCCACTGGTGATATTCTAGACCTTGGTATTTGTAGTTCTGTCTCAGTGGGATGGCATATTTTGTGTCTAGATTCACATCATAACCAGACTTAATGAGGACGTATGCAGGTTCAGTTCATCAGTTCACTGCCCTTTGCTTTCACTCTCCCACCAACCTAGGAATCTACCATCAGTTTGATTCCTAGATTATTTAATAAACCTACAAATTTCTTGTTTTGTTAAATATCTGCCAGAATAGGTATATTCTTTTGAATGAATTCTTTTTTCTTTATTTGATTATTATTTTAAATGTACTAAGGATATTAGTGAGGTATTCATTTGATAAAATAGTGACCCCATCTTTTTTGTTTGTTTTATGCCTAAAATGTCAATTTGTGTGAAAGGTACATACATATTCTCATGTTCTCTTATCTCCAACAATAGATGACTAATGCAAAATATCAAATCATTTTTTAAAATCAATACTTAATTTTTTAGAAAAAATTAGAGACACAATGCTGGCATAAATATTCACTCCTCTCAGTTGCTGGGCCTACTTCTGTTAGAGAATAATCTATAAATAATTCACGAAGCTGACATTACTCACTATTTTGTGATAATTTTTTTCTGGGAGAATTTTAGCAACTGTTCTAATATAGATTTGCCAGTTATCAGTAGTTGGGAATGCAAGTCAACTTTTAATTATGCAGAGGCTGATTATTCAGACTACAAACTGTTCATGCCCTGTACTGCTCCTTCCTGCTGCCTACCTTTTAGCATTTTCACTGCTCATTAGCACATACACCAGAAGGCAAGCTTTGGACAAGAGGGTGGGGGAAGGAGGGATGGGAAAAATCAGTTAAGCACATAGGAGAAGCTTTGATGAAAGATTTCAATATATTTTGTAGGATTGTTGACTAAAATTGTATCATTTGGATTCCTAGTGAATTTCATTTACTTGTTCTATTCTTGTCCTCCATAGCAACAGATAATAGAATTGTCTGCCGAGAGACAGCAATATTCCTATATTTAGTGTTTTCTTTCCTAGAACATTTTTACATGATGGTTCATGATATTTTCTCTGTTTGTTATATTTGTAACAAGATAACTTTATTTCTTTGGTGATTGGTATATTGAGATTGCTGGCATATACCTCAATTATCTGATGGTTTTCTAGAAAAGTGCCCCTTTATGTCCCAGTGTCTTTCAATTTTGATTGGAAATACAATCCCTCGTGCTCAAACCAGTAGCTTTAAAGCCTTTGGGGATGTCCAGGGCTATCTTACACTATATATGCTTTGGGGTAAGTGTGGCTATTAACAAAAACCCAGGCAGGTAGGCAGTCAGCCTAGGAGTCTCTGCTTAAGTGAAATTGTTACAGTTGTAGTGAAACTCAAGTGGTACTGGTGTTTTTGTTTAGCCTAAAACTGTTATTCTTATATATATGTTTTCTGCCTTTTTTCAGTCCTGTCACCTCTGTTACATTGTCTGAAAACCTGCCTCTTACTGGTTCTGTTTCTGGACTCTTGTGAACTCAGAAACTAAATACCAAACGAGTTAGAACTGTGTCTAAAATAAGAGCAAGTTAAGACAAACTAATAGCCAGTAAGCCTGCACAAGCTACAAAGAACTCACATTTGAATGTAAGTGCATGCCCGTTAGTGCAGAATCAGCCTCCCTTCTTGGGGCTTATTTCATCTTTCCTTACTAATTTTCAATCATGTAGTTCAGCTGCTTGGATAAGATAATTGTGTTTCAAAGAAAAATTCGGGACATGAGCCTGCTAATACATAGTGTTTTTCAGTGAGGACTGCTGACTAATTTCCCATAAAGTTGAGACAAAGGGTACAATGAACAGGTCACATAAAGAAAATTGATTTTTTTAATGTAAAAATTAAACCTAGGCTAGTATTCAGGTTACCAGTCCTGTTAACCAACCAAAGATTAGTTAATCAAAAGTACTTGGTCTATAAGTCTTTGGGAAAATAACCTCACAGGTAGTCTGGTTTCTGTGTCCTCATGAACATTATAAAACTATCTAGAAAGTTCCCTAATGACAACCCTTTTTTCATTATTTTTGTATAAATTCTAATTCTTCTGGGCCCTCCCTGGTGGCACAGTGGGTTAAAGCACAGCACTATGAAGCTGTCGCAGCCACTGCAGCACGAGTTTGATCCCCGGCCAGGAGCTGACCCACATGGCGCAGCAGACCTCTCCTGCTGCTTCCCTCAGCAGTGTAGTTCAGCCTACCTGTTCTGCTCCCCACTCTGTCTTTGCTGAATCCTCTTGCCCCCTGCACCTCTGGCCTGTACCCCAGTTCTGTATGTAGAAATAAATAATTTTTTTTTTAATCCAAACCCTGGAATTTTTTTTTTTTTATGGCGCTGAGACACAGTGGTTAGGTTCCAGGATCTAGTGGACTTTTCATGTGTTCATTTGCTTGCTTCCTGGGGACCAGTTTGCTGTGAGTCATGTTCCATCTGATTTATAACGGATCTGGCTGTGGAGTTGTGACTCAGATGGGCTTTGGGCCCGATTATTGCCCCGTTCATCTTCTGGGGAATAGATGACAGCACCAGGACTCATGTCCTGACACATTTTTCCTTATTCTTCTTGCACTTTCAGGATCTAAAGAGAGCATCATTACTGACAGCCGGCAGGTACGCCTTGCCACAGCCATCTTCCCTGTCGTCAGCCTCCTGAACCACTCCTGCAGCCCCAACACCAGCATGTCCTTCACTAGCACTGTCGCCACTTTACGTGCATCAGAGCAGATTGGAAAAGGACAAGAGATTCTCCACTGCTATGGTGAGACGCCTCTCCTCACTACTGACCCCCTTCTCCAACAGAAAAGAACAGGCAGATTACAATGAGCAGCCACTGGCAGGTGCCTTCATTTGTCTAGTGCTTATTTCCGGGGAGAGGCAGGTGTACGTAGGCAAAAGATCGGCCTTGTTAGTAGGGATCTGCTGTGACTTAGCATGATTCTTATAGTCTAATCCTTATAAACTTCCTTTTCTGAAAATGGGCCAGGACCAACTCTTTCACCCTGAAACTTAGAAATTTATTTCTATATCTAGTTCCACAAATGTTTGCAGAATGTTCACATGATGAATAATTAACCAGGCCCTCTGCTTGATCTCTTTTGCTTTAAATATTGACCAAGTGTGGTCTCTCTGCAGGACCTCACAAGAGCAGAATGGGTATTGCTGAAAGGCAGCAGAGTCTGAAGTCTCAGTATTTCTTTGACTGCAACTGCTCAGCTTGTCAAAATGAGAAGGACAGAATTACTGCAGGGCCCAGGTGGGAAGCATTCTGTTGTAACAGCTGTGGAGCGCTTATGCAGGTGAATCTCTCTCCTTTCTCTTCTCTGCTTTTCCTAGAGGCCAGTTATTCAGGTCAAAGGCCATATATTGTTAGGAAGAAACTATTGGGACTTACATGTGCAGAGAGCTGTACTTTCTCTTTGCTTTTAACCCATCTTGCCCATACATTGATTACCCTGCTGCAGCAACCACAGGGAATGGTTGGATTTAGTGATTTTTCTCTTGCAAATAGCAGAAAATTCAACCTAAACTGATTTAAGGGGGATTAAAAAGAATGGGAATTTATTTGCTTAAGTAAATCACTGAAGTTCCCAGGATAGGGAAACTTGAGATACAATGGGACCCAAGAGCTCAGATAAGTTCAGCAAAGACCCTCTTTTTCGCCCTTGCTCACTCAGCAACATTTTCTCAGTTAGTCCCATCCTCACACAGACTTCCTTCTTGTTGTAGGAGTGTAGCTGCCAGGGATTGCGGCTTCATGTCCTCTCTATGCCATTCTAATAGCAATCTGGTCCAAAATTGTAGTGTTTTATTGACTTGATACCTATAGCTGGAAGTCTGTCAGAACCACATAAAGTTTTCCTCCAGTCATTAGGGCTAGACCAGTGCCAGATCTGAGCCACAGGTCTGTCCTTTGCCTGTGGAAGTACTCCTATGAAGAGGTAGAAGAGGGGCCTCAGGAGAAATCAGGTTGCTGTTGCCAAGTGAGGACATAAATAAAGCATCTGAAAATCAGTAAATGTCCACTTCACAGGTTTATCCACTGCTGGGGAAGACAGTATTCTTCAAGGAGCCATAAGTAAAATGTAGAGCTGGTTGTATTGGAAAGCTGGAGTTGCACGCCCAAGGTCAAATGGAAAGGCCTAATCTAGCATCTCTTCCTAAGGGTTTTGTTTTTGTTTTTTTTAGTGTCATAATGGTGATAACACTGAGACTTAACCCCTAGACCACGAGGGAGGCGCCTTCCTAAGGGTGTCTGTCTCCTTACAGTTTCTCATAACCATCGGAAATATGTCTGTCATCAAAAGCCCTAGCCTCCCCCAAAAAGTAAGAAAGGAGTTATAGAGATGGAAAGAAATTGCATACTGGACCAATTTGGTTGCAGGAATTAAATCCCAAGGTGGGATCAGCTATGGTTTTCATTAGAATTGCTGCTGTTAAAGTCAGCGGGGCTTTGATCATAGTGTATATTGCAGGAGTCTCTTTCCCCATAGGGTCAGAAGCTAAGGAACAATCCTATACTGTAAGTACAAACTATATTGCTAACTATTGTGGTTTAAGAGTAAAGACAAAACTGACTTCCACAGGGAAATGATGTGCTGAGCTGTGGCAACACGTCTTGTTCGGAGTTGGTGAGGAGAGATCACCTAGTCTCTCGGTTACAGGGCCTGAAGCAGCAGGTTGGAATGGCCCAGAAGCTTCTCAGAAATGGTAAACTAGGTAAGACTGGCTCCCTGCTTGGATCCTCCAGCCCTCTCCTTTTTATTCATTCTGAGATCAACTTAGACTCAAGGGTACTCGGTGAAGGTTGAAGAATTGAATTGAATTATCCCCATGCCTGCCACAAGATGGCTATGTAGGCCAGTGAGACCAGAACCTAATGAGCTCACTTAGTGTGGTGTCCCTGGGAAAGGGCCAAGTGATAGCTGCCCTCTCATGTACCTGATGGCCATTTCACAGTACCCCATGACAACTAAAGGGTTATTGCTGACATGGATGTGTTTGTGCCAGTCCAGAAGTACAGTGTCATTTATGTTGATGCCAGGCCCTAGTAACCTAACATCTAGAGTGCTCTGCCCTACCAGGGCTTCATCTCTCTACTAGCCATGGTGCCGACACCCAGTGGTTAAAAGTGTCCTGCTTTTTTCAGTGGGGAGCTGTGGAACTCCTCATTACCCTTGAGAACTCTGCTGTGGGGCTTGCCATAGTGGTCATTTATTTTCCTGCTTTGGGAAAGTTGACCTTTAGCTTAGAGTTCAGCGTCAAGAGAAATACCATAGTAGAATGTTGTCATTCCATTTCAAACTGCAGTTAGAAACCTAAAATAAATATGGCAAGCCCTCATCTAGCACTTTTTTCTATTGAAAGAAAGGGAACAACCACTTTGTTGGGACAAACATTGTGAGCTGGTGACAGCTGGAGGAGACAAAGGGGGATTTCTGTATTCCGCCCAGCTGAGATAGAATTTCAGAGCTGGTTCTCATTTCTAGTACTAGGTCATATCTGTAATGAGGCTACTTTCCTTTGAATTAATAGAGCCAGCTATTGAGCTATTGTTGGAGTGCCAGCATGATGCGGAGAGCTTCCTCTCACCTGAGCACACAGTGATAGGGGAGATGGAAGACGACCTGGCCCAGGCCTATGCCGCCTTAGGTATGGCATGTGTCTACATTTTCTGCCTTGTGTGTTTGGTCACGACCCTAGCCTCCTTGGCTGGTCACTGCTTAACCTTCCGATGGGGACTGCTCTCCCTTCCACTCAGCTTTCCTCCCCTGAAAGTGTTCATCCACAGTTAATGGTGGTTCTTTTCTGGAGCCAGAGTTTTCTTTCCTTGCAGGGGACTGGCAGAAGTCAGCTATCCATCTCCAAAAGAGTCTGCAAGTGGTTGAGGTTCGCCACGGTGCATCCAGTGTTGAAATGGGTCATGAGCTCTTCAAACTGGCGCAAATCTTTTTCAATGGGTAAGTCTTTCTCTTGTCTCCTTACATTTCACCAGGACACATGCTGTTCTGTCTTTTATTAGGCATTTGTGTATTACTTTTTTTCTATAGTGTTTTTAGAAACTTCTTTATTTCCCCTTTAGAAGAGACCCTTCCCTTCTGTTCTGCTGACAAATTTGAAGCTTTAGAACTTCCTCCTGAGAGAGATGAGAAAAGTTCTAAGCTCTGAAGGGAGTTTCCCAAGGGAGAACTTGCCGGGCAGCCCCACCACACACCATCAAACCCACCCCCCAACTAGCCACGCCCCCCTTGCTGTTCTCATTCGAAGCACCCTCAGCTTGGCACTGGCTCTTCCTTCTCCCTAGTCCAGTTCCTTTTAAAGCAGGTGTTTTCAACTAGTATTGATTTTACCCTCCAAGAGAGATTGTCTGGAGACGCTTTTGATTGTTGTAAGTTGGGGTAGACAGGATTGTAGAGACCGGGACGCCATGAAACACGCCCCAGTGTCCAGGATAATCCCCCAAACTAAGAATTAACTGACTCATAATGTCTTAAAGGTTATTGAAAGGAAAGAACAATAGATTTGATTAGTTGATGTATCATTTCCTTTTGTAACTAAGATCATTAGGAAATCCTAATTTCAGTATTTCTAAATGGAATATGTCCAGCCTTGGTTGTACATTGGTGTGAAAAGGTGTTTGAAGCTTGACTCTAGGGTTATGAATGGTGGGTAAACCAGCTACTTGATGCATAGAGGCAGTCCATTTGGTCAGAGAACAAGAAAAAGGCTGCAGGATTAGATCAAGGGTACATTTCATTACCCCAAATAAAGGTTCCTGAGTAAACTTTGGGAGGTATATCAAATTATTACTTTAAGATTTCTCTACTTCTCAGGATATATAAATCTTCATACTTTCTCCCATAACTCTGTTCTGAAACCCTGCCATGTAGGGTGTTTGTAAAAGTGTCAAATCTGCCAATCTAGATTGTGAGATCCTTGAATACAAAAATGACCTTACCAGCTTTTTATTTTTCAGAGTCTGTGAGTAGTGCTCAATGTTTGCTTGGTTGAATGAGTGGATTCACTCTTCTTACCTCCTTTGGTTCAGGTTTGCAATACCCGAAGCTCTGAATGCAACACAGAAGGCAGAAAAAGTTCTATTGGTGCACTGTGGCCCCTGGAATGACGAGGTCCAGGAACTGCAAAAGATGAAAACCTGTTTATTGGAGTTGTCATCCATCCATACAAAACCTTCAGTGTAGGGTCCCCAGGGGCAATTTCCCCTGGAGGAAAGGAACCCAAGGAAATTAGAGAGGTTCTGTTGCTGGTAAGTTGCCACTAGGAACTAGAGGACTTACCCGACTGTCACAGTCTGGTGCTTGAGGTCAGGGAGGACTTGGACAGTATTGCAGCGGGAGAGAGACACTTGCCTATTTGGAAGATTATTTCCTGAAATAGTTAACCACCCTCTAGTAAAAAAAAAAAAATCCCCAGTTCCCAGAAAAGAGGGAAAACTAGTATCTGGAGAACCTAAACCTTTTAAAAAGATTTTTGTTGATCTGCAGGCATCTGGATGTTAGCTGGGGGTTTTGGCTAGGCGCCATCTCACTAAATGATGATAGTCAGTTTCCCTGGAACATTCCTGTGGCTTCTAGTAGTAAGGAAATGTTGTATGCCACTCCAGTGGGAGCTTAAATTCTTAGTTCTTGTACTGTAATTGAAAAATAATTATAAAGCAAGAAATCAGTGAGGTTCTTTACCTCTAGAGACATAGCTTTGTTTACGGTATGTAGTTTCCTTGACTCCCTTGTTAAAACTGGTGGCGTGTAAATTATGAATAGAGAAATAAATATGGGCCATTTTACTATTAGGCTGTTTGTTCCTGGATGGCAGCTCTAAATTTGTTTTCTACTGATTCTTCAGTCGTTACTATCTGGATTTAATTCTATACTCTTGGCAGACTCACTGACCAAACAATAATAAAATCAAACTTGTAACAACAACTTTTTAACACATGTGCCTCCTTTCTTTCTTTGATTTATGCGCTAACTTGAAAAGAGACCACTTTTTTTTTCACTACCAGATGCTTCCAAGCTGGCAGATGCAATAATACATGCTGTGTAAGTACCTGGGGAAGGGGAGGGAGGGTCACAAGATGCATGGGCATGGCCACTTTTGGTTTCAAACTTTCAACAGAGAGCAGGGTCATTAACTCTCTTGCACCTCAATATGTAGCAATAATCTAGACCCCATTCCAGTCAGAAGGCTGAGGTGCGCTGGGTCTCAACCCTGTTATATCACCACTGGTTCACATGAAAAGAATGCCAGGTCCACACTGTTTTGAGAGCCGCCCATTCTGGCCATTCCCTAGTACCCATTGGTAATCATCACAAAATGAATAGCCCTGAAGATGCCTGGCAGATTCTTTGGAAGCAGAGCTTTTGGAAGCTGGCACTCAAACATATGTTGCATTAAGGGTAGGCAGAATTTCATTAATCCTCCTTCCTACAAAGGCAGTAGCCAGTAAGATTTTTTGGTAGAGCTGACTTTTTCAAGAAAAATAATTTTGTCCCATAGTTATTCTGTTGCAGACACTTGTCATGTTTCATGTTCTTAAAAAAGGCTCTGCTGTACTTTGCAAAATATGCATACTTCCTTAAAAGAATATATTTAGAAATTTGACATACCCAGTCCCATTTTATATAAACTTGAGAGCTTTCTTTCTTTAAATGCCTCATAAAGTGAGGTATTATTTCTTGAAGTTATAAATGGCCTCCCTTACCAGTCCATGTGTTATCCTAGGTTGTCATGTGGCATTAGCTTGACTGGGGGCTAGCTGTGCTTGCAATGGAGTCAGGACCCCTTATCTCCCCCATCGCCATGGCTGAGTTTCCCACCATGAGGCATGTGGGCACCACTATATTTGCTTTACCTGTACCTGCCCAGTATTTGACCATCAATTTATTTTTTTAAGGTTTATTTACTTATAAATAAACATACAGAAATAAGCATACAGAATTGGGTACAGGCCAGAGGTGCAGGAGTGGTGAGAGGATTCAGCAGAAGAAGGTAGGGGAGCAGAACAGGCGGACTGATGAAGTCCACTGAGGGGAGCAGTAGGCGTGACAGGACATGTCTGTTGTGCCATGTGGGTGAGCTCCCTGGCCTGGGATCAAACTTGAGTTGAAGCGGCTGTTTCATGGTGCTATTTTAACTTGTTGTACCACCAGGGAGAACCCTGGTCAGCAATTTAAAGAGAAGAAAAAAGGAAACAAAACCTGAAGTCTAGTTAGTTTTAGAGTGTGCTCCGCTGCTGGTGGGGGCAGGATGCCCTCCTGAAGGCAGCAGTGGTTCTAGTAGATAACCCCCCTGAAGCATTATATAACAGAGATAACCAAAAGTTCTAAATGTTGACTGTGTAGAGTTCAGATAGAAGCAGGTTATCAGTGTGGGAGCAGCAAGTTCCTAGAGGGCAATTTATCTTCATATTAAACAACCTAACTCAAAATACAAGAAGGAAAAAGTAACACAAGTTAAGAATACAGCACTTTATTGCAAAGTATACGTTGAAACATTATACACTGAAACATAGGGCAGCCTTCATGTGATTATAATAAACTGCCACCCTCTAGGATTTTCTTCTTAAGAGTGTTTAAACATTAAACTAGACCATTAAGTGCCCCTGGGGTCCAGAATTTTGCCTATGAAGAGAAGAGCCCCTGTATCCGTGTCCCTCAGTACAAAAATAAAAGGCTGGTTAAGGTGATAGTCCAGGGGGAAAGTGAGGCGGGCGGGCTGGAGCCCTGGGCTGGGGCTGGTGCCTGCTCCATCCTCACTCCACTCGAAGACAGCGCGATGTTCCACTTGAGTAAGCTTGATAGGTTTGCCCGTGATCTTGCTAAAGTCTGGCGAATCAAACAAGGATTGTAGCTCTGTGGAGAATGAGAGCGTTTCATTAAAACCATGCCTTACCTAACACCCCACAGGAGAATACTGTCCTGATTCTTAACTCTTGATTATCAAGAAGGTAAGCAAGCAAGGAGTAGGACACCACTTGAGCTCTTTTGGGAGGTGTGTAGAGCTCTGGGTGACGGGCTAAGTGACTTGTGCCCAAGAACATAGCCAGTGAGATCCAGATTAGAAATCAGATCAACAGACCTGTCTTGAGAGGCAGTGTCATATTTCCTGTTACAGGAATCATGCTTAAGGGGCTAAGAAATGAGTGTGATACCGAAGACAGTTCAGAGTTCCCCTCCAGCTTTACCAGAATTAAGCAGTCATATCTGGGCTCTATATAAGGCTCTGAGGCCCTTGAGCTCAGTTTGGCGATGATGAAGGCCCAAAGACTTGATTCCGCCTTCCCAAAGGGCCTAAGGGTCTTGGAAACGTACTCATCTCTTGCAGGGACTTGGTGACTTCGCCTTCAAAATTAAGCTTCAGTTTAGGGATGGTCAGAACCGCTTCCACAGTCTTCAGTTCTCGGTCTATGTCATGAATGAACTCAGAGGTGAGGCTTTCTTCTATCAGCGTCAAGTTCTGGGTCACTTTCAGAGGCAGGAAGAAGATGACACTCATGCTTCCAGTCAAAGGCAGCTGGGCAATCTGAAAGACAGGGAGGAAATACATGGGTCCTCCTGTGGCACACCCACGCCCCAGGCTGCCCTCTCCCAACCCAGTCTGACATGCCCCTCTAGGCTACAGGGGCAACAAGACATCTACTCATGGTCCTTCCCAAAATAGGCTATTGCTTTCTTACCTCAGCCTAAAGACAAGAATTTTCTCAAATGGTTCTGAGGAACTATTTTCTCGAATGGTTTTGAGGAACTAGAACAGATTCCCTGGGCTATGTTTTCCCCCAAGGTTTATCTGCCACAATTATCAATCATCTGTTACATTTAAAGCCCTGTGCTAGAAAAGCAGGTGTCGGGCCCAGCAACACAGAGGCAGAAAATGAGTCTTATGAACAGAGGTTCATGGGACAAATGCTTTTGGGGTCCCACAAACCCCTGAAATATATACAGAAATGTGTGCATGTGTTCACTTGCATGTCTGTCATGTTTTAGGTATTTTGTAAGATTCTTAAGAAAATAAAGTCAAAGTTAAGAACTACTGACTTAGAATTAAAAGTGAGTCAGGTGTATGTGGAAAGACTAGAATGCCACTAATTTGGCATTTGCGATGGGCTTTGAACATTGGCAGAAAGAATATGAAGGAAAGCAAGGACAAAAATCATCAACATTTCTCATTACCTTTTTAATCCTTATGTACACCATGGGAGGATAAGTTTACCCCCTTTCATTTTAAGATGATGTTCAGAGAACTATTAACTTGCTGAAAGTAACTCAGCATTAAAATTTGACAGCTGTCAGGTCTCAAGGATCTCAAAATCCATTCTATTTCCACTACACCATTCTGCCTTGTCTTTTCCTCACTCCCACCCTCCAACCACCCTCCCCCTACAGACCTTGCAGCTGAGATCAGAATCCAAGCCATAGCGTAAGAGGGCCTTAGGGTCTGACATCATGGGGACTGTCACAGTCCTCTCCTCATCCAGGTGGAAATCAGCCAGGGATGTCTTTCTGGAGTCAAACTTGGTCACCCACTGCCCTGGAATGAAGCGAATGGAGGGTCCTGAACTCCGGGAGACCAGATAGGCAGTGGAACAAGGATGGCATTGAAAATTGCCTGCATGGCTAAAGGGGCCCTGACATGGTAAAGAACAGCTCTATCTCAGAATGTGTGGGCTGACCCATAATATTCTAGAGCCCTGAATACCATCTGCAAATGAGCTCAGAAGGAAATATACCAATTTTATCAATTTAACTATCTGGATTATACAATTTCTATAATAGTCTAGAAGAAGGTAAACAGGTGTATACTTCTACAGTGGTATATGTCGAAGATAGGATCAAGGAGGCCAGAACTGGAAGGCACCTTGACATCATTTTAATCAACCCCTCTGAGTTGTAAAAGCCCTGAAGCCCAGAGAGGTGAAGCAATCTTCCAGTGCTCACACAGTGTGGTGATAACCAAGCTTCCTCATTTGAAGTGGACTTTAACATGCTGGTCTGCAACTGCATCTTTCACTCCCTGGAGATCAGTGCTTCAAGTACGAAGCCATTGGGCTTTTTTGGTAGGAGTTTAGGGGTTCAATCTTGCTACTGCCTGAGAGATAGTTATAAAACATTTCAAGGGGAGGTTGTCAAAACCAACCCAAGGCTTATCTCACGTTGGGCCCTGGGAATAGTCTTGAGCATACCATCACAGCCTAGAGGAAGAATGTTATCACACACACAGCGATCTACTGGGTACCTGCTGTGTCCCAGACACAGTGCCAGCATTGATGTTAAGATGGGAGACAACTAGACAGTGTCTCTGAAGTCAGTGTATTGTCCCCATGTTAGAGATAAAAAGAATAGGTCCAGAAAGGCTATGAAGCTGTGCAGGGCGCTGCAGCCCATAAAGACAAAGCTGGGCTCTGAGTCCGACTTCAGTCAGAATCCTGATATCCTCCTACCCGAGGCGGGGTCGACAGTGGTAGTGCTTTCTCCCTCTGCTAGGCTTTCTCCAAGGCCTGTTCTCTTAGGTGAACACTCACCAAATGTTTGCCTCGGATTTGAATACGAACAGATTGCATGTCAAATTCTCCTCTGCCTTCACCTCTGGGGTCATGTTGAACTAGGTCTCTGACATACCCCCTTTTCCCAGCCTCTCTAACACCCACCATCCCCCCCGATCAAAAAAGAAATGGCAAAGCCCTCACCCTTGAAATAAGCCACCCCAAAAAGGAGAATGCTGATTCCACTGGTCATTTCCCGTGTGGACCTAGTGATTTTCCCTTTCATCTGGGCCTGCACCCAGTTGTTCATTTCCTGAAGGTCTATGCGAGAGTTTCCAGTCAGGATCCTGGGCCTGGTCCCATAGGACTTTTCCAGTGGTGCAACAAAACTCGATTTTACTCGCAGCTCTGGAAAGAAATGGAGCAGAGGTTAGGGACTTGGGAAGCTAAGCCAGCAAGCATACCCTCTCTGAGAGCATGCCAGCCGTGTGTCCTGGTTTACCAGTCAACAGGCCCTGACATCCTGCCTAGCTTCTCCCTGTGACGTGCCAGGACTCTATGCCAGCATTCCCAGGCTCTGGACAGGGAACAACAGATTTGGCTCATTGCTGTTTCTCTCCACGTTTACTGCCTTCCCAGCTCTCCCGCTGTCTCCAGCCCATTTCCTTTCTCACCCTCTTTGGGCTCATGGGATCCCACTCATGCCAGGCCTGGCCTAGGCAGATAGAATCTGTTTTTGAAACCCTGTCCATGGAGCATGGAGCCCCACTCCCCTCAGGCAACCCCAGCTAGCAGGCCAACCTACTTCTCTCAAAGATGATCCGGGAAGCACTCTTAAAGTTCTTCTGGGGTGCAGTGACTGAAGCAAGGAGTTCCTTGTAAGTGCCATGAATGTCTGGGTTGTTGATCAGATCATAGTAGAGAGCTCGGTGAAGAGTGGATTCTGTCCGCTGTTCCGCTCCTGCCAGAGACAAGAATATGAGCTCAATAATTTCCCACCAGGCGTCCCCCAGAACAGGACAAGAACTTAGTTTTCTCTCTGCTGATTCCAGAAACATTCTCGTGGGTGAGGAATTTGAATACAGTGGAAGAAAAATCAATTTTCCTAAATTAAGCGACAGGTGCAGGCATAGAGAGCACCATGAGGGTGGGACTGGGGGCTTCAAGTCTGTGCTTCTCCCATCATAGCACTTGCCAGGCTGATTAATAGTTACCTGTTTGTTAGTTTCCCTGTGAACTTAGTGACAGCAGAGACCATGCCTGCTTCTGAAGGCTGGTTTAAGGAATGAATGAGAGTAGAAGTTACCATGTCGATCAACAATTCCGAGGTAGCACACCCATGTGAAGCGTACCCTTCCCAGGGGGTTGTGTGCACACCCCTGTACCCAGTAGGGGCCCCTGCCTGAACTGAAGTGTGTCTAGGGGTTAGGCATACATGTGCAGTTGCTGCATGCTGGGCTTTCTGCACTGGAGAACTCACCCAGGGAAAGGGCAGAAAACGCTGTGGCCACGCTGAGTGGAGACAAGAGCACATTGGCAGTAGGGCTCCCGTTGGATCTCACACGGTACAGGTCATAGCCAAAGTTGGAGACAGCCGCTGCCAGCTTATTGACAGGGACCTTGTAGAAGGGATCTTCCTCTTCCACTGGCACACCCGTGGTGTCCGGGGCCAGGGAGCCCTGGGTTTGATACAAGAACCAGTGGAGATAAGCAGTAGGTGATTGGTCTCATCACTCTGAGTGGAAATGTCATCTTGGCCCCTTAGGGACGCCTTGAATGTGGTATGTTTAACCTACTATTGGAATGAGTTTGCACCCCCACCGTGCAGTTGCTCTCTGCTGGGGAGAAGCAACCCAGAAGAGAGATAAGCGGATCAGGTTTAAACACTTGGAACCTGTGAGCCTATGACACACTTTTTTTAAAAAAAGAAGAGACACCCTCCCCTTCCCAAGAAATCCTACTCAGGCCAGACCAGGTTTCCTGTGCTCCCCCTGCACACTGCTTCCATGTTTTTCCCTAGACCCTTATATTAAATTCCCATCATTATTTTTTTTTCCGTCATTATTTTTAAAAAAGATTTATTTATGCACACAAGAACTAGGTTACAGCCCAGAGGTGCAGGGGGAATAGAGGGCTTACCAGAGATAGAGTGGGGAGGAGAGCAGGTGGATCTACTGAGTACACTGCTGAGGGGGGCAGCAGGTAAGACTGGAGAGGTCAGCTGCACCGTGAGGGTCAGCTCCATGGCTCGAGAAGGAACTCACACTGCCGTGGCTGCTGATAGCTTCATAGTGCTGAGACTCAACTCCTGTGCCACTCGAGGGGCCCTGCTCCCTTGTCATTCATGGCCCTGGTCAGATATCACTTCCACCACAAACTATCCCTGGGTCACCCCAATTTGAAGCCACACTTTGGTTTTATGACCCTTTTTTTCTTTCTCAGAGTCAGGTACCAAACTTGCTCGTTAACCACCATCTATATGCAGACTGGGTGCTAGTTCTCTTCATTTTAGTTACTTTTTCCGTGCTTGTCTAAAACCCAAAAAGACTAACATCTCAAAAAATATCCATGAAGGCAAGAAGTGAGCCCTACATTTCCACACATCCCCAGCACCTACAGAGTAGGTGCTGAGTAGATGAAAAATAAGGGCCTGGCTACAATGGCCCTGTGAGAATGGGCATTTGTAACCCCGTTGTATAAATAAGAAAACAAAGATGGGTGAAGTGACTTGTTTATTAAAAGTAAGAGGCAGTCAGAATTCAAATTCAGCTCTCAAGACTAAGTCCAGGCACCAGCCACTGGGCCCCAGCTGCCCTGGCCCCTGGATTGATAGTCACCTTCCATGTCACACAGTATAGCTTCTGTCCCAGCGTCAGCATCTACCTTTGCAGCCGCCTCTGCTCTCTCTGGACAGGAAAGAGGTCTTTCCACACTATTACATCTCAGCTGGGGCCTGGCCACTATCAGGGCATGTGTCCAAGGCTGTCACCCACCCAGTGAGACCCACAAGGAATGCCAAGTAATGAGAAAAGGTCTTTATACAAGTGACACTCTCAAGCTGGCTGCAGTACTTTTCCTTTTTTCTCTTTTTTAATCTTATTTTTGTCCCTAAGCAAGACAATAGCTATTTTGCTTATGGAGAAACAAACACCCTGTCTAGACAAAAAGGGTCAGAGCCAGCTCCCTGTCCTGTCTCACTTGGGATTAAATGTACATGCGTGCACACACACCATGTTCACACTGACCTCCAAGTTGCCAGCATTGTTCTGGCAGCTGCCATACCCAAGAAGGACTCCGGTCCAGAGAAGTAGTATGAGGGCCTGCATCCTGGGCCTGCAAGAAAGTAAGAGACAGCAAGATGCTTCCCTCAATCATCACCCTGCACCACTGAGCCACACTGTGCGGGGATCAGGGGCTTGCCAGAACCAGGTACCTGACCACAGCCTCGCCATGCTTTGGACACTGAACCCAATAGAGCTTTCTTCTTAGCCCCTGACCACCCTCCACCCTACTTCCCAGCCCACAGCCCTGTGATGAACTTGTGCTTTCATCCCATCATCAGCCTCAGGAGTCCCACCTTCCAGCCTGAAGCTCCAGAACACTGAAGATCCAACAACCAGCTCCTCTGTATAGGACACCCTGGGCTTTTCCCTGGAGGTACCCGACCAGCTCCTTATAAAGGGTTTGGGGCCGCATGTACTCCCAGAACAGGGGTTGAATCTGAGTCTCGCAGAATAGGGAGGACAGAGGCATCCAGTCCAGTTTCTGGACTGGGAACTGGCCTCAGGAACTCATTCCCTTCTCAGTTCTGTGAAAAGCTCTTACTCTCACAGCTAGGGGTAATAGGTCTTGGGACAGACATCCTGAGTTCAAATCTCAATTGGCTTAATTGCTCTCTAAAGCACAATATTTTCTCTTGTAAACTAGAAATCAAATAGCTCTTACCTACTGTGATCAGGATTAAATGATAATGTCTTATTAGCACTTAACAGTACCAAAGACAAGTGAGTTATCCAATAAGCCATGAGTCAATAATTTTCTCCCCATAACTAGAACCCAAGACAGTGTGGGGACAGATCATCTTCCCCTACCAGCTGGAAATAAATGGTTTTTATATCCCAGGAATCTTCTTTCCTTGAAATTAAGCATAACCCCCTTTCTGGAGAGACCACCCAAGTCTCTTCACTTCCCTAGCAATGACCAGCTCTGGTCTGGCCCCTAGATCACAAGGGAATGGGGAAATCTGGGTGCTGGGCACCACATGCTACACCATCCGTCACGCCTCTACATTCACTGCCTCTACGTGGCCCTGGAGTCAGGATGTAGGAGCGAAGTGCGCTTCACAAATACGATCATCCAAGAGGCCCCTGCTTAAAAAGTGGAGTCAGGGTCTCAGCACCCATAACTTCTGATGGGTCCCCATTCTCCATTCTTACTGCTGAGTCAAAAACTTGTGATCATTCTTCCCTTCACCTCACCTCCCCTGCACGACACACATGCAGACTCCCTCATCACCTTTTTATATGCCCATAAACACACACACACAATACACAAGACTTTTCTGACTCCTCACAGCAAGTAGGTAAGTTGGGAATGCAGTGTGTAATTTGTGTCCGAAGTCCTTGAAGTTAAGTCTGATCATCCACTGGACAACACTGAAGATCATAAAAGGCAACAAAAGAAGGAAAAAAACAAACAAAAAAAACTGCCTCCTGAGTTTGCTCAGCCTAGGGGTGGACTGTCAGTGAGAACCAGCTGCTTTTCTTCCTGAACCCTGATCTTGGGCTCGTGTCTCAGAGAGCGTTCTGTGGACCCCATGTATTAGCAGCTGCCCCCATGTCTGCCCCCTTGACCCAGCGAGAATCTTCAGTTGAGAGAATAGGAAAAACTCTCGCAGTGCAAGATAAAGACCTAACCCGGTCGAGACTTACAGCTCTCAGGCCAGTTAGCCTCACTCAGGCCTGGCAGGAGACTCGCCTGAGCCTCAGCAGACGGCTTATTGGAGACTGAAAAGTCAGCAAGGTGCATAGGTGGCGAGGTTAGAGGAAGAGCTTTTCTCTCTAGTGCCTCTGGCCAGGATGTATTTGAAGGAAGGAAAGAGGGGTCCTCCTGGTGTAGGTTGTTTTGAAGATTCATCTTTAAAATGTATTTTATGCAAACAAAAGCTGGGGTGCAGGCCAGAGGTGCAGGGAGTGAGAGGATTCACCAGAGACAGAGTGGGGAGCAGAACAGGTGGATTGACCGAAATACACTGCTGAGGGGAGCAGTGGATGAGACAGGAGAGGTCTGTGGGGCCATGTGGGTCACCTCCCTAGCCAGGGTTAAACCTGTGCCACAGTGGCTGACAACAGCCTGACAGCACTGAGCCTTCAACTCCTGTGTCACCAGAAAGGCCCCCTGGTGTAGGTTTTAAGGAAATTAAATTCACAATTCAAACACACATGAGATGAGCTCTTCTCTATGGGTCCCCTACAGAGCCTGAACCCGAGCTTTCGTGTGGGGTTGATCACGGTCACCACATGGGTAGGCTGAGGCCAAAAAGAGAGAAAGGATCTCTGCAGGGAAAGGCATGGTTCCCGGCCCTCAGGGCTCTGGGACGCGTCGTTTAATGCACTTCTTTGGATCCCCTACCTCAAGCCCTAGGGATGAGGGGCAAGGAAAGATTATTGAAAGTCCCCAAGAAGGGCAGTGTGGGGAATTCCCTGGCCCCCTTCCTCTCCCATCCACATTTAGGGGCTGAATTCCTAGTGGAGAGGCGGTAGCCAGGCAGTGATGGGGTTTCTGGGAGAGTCAGGATCTGCAGGGGCCCCTCTGAGGGGTAATTGTTCTCTGAGCTGGGGCAGGCAGCCACTGGCTGGCCAGGGGCACAGGGACAATGATGCCATCCTGTGCAAAGGGCAGTATCCAAACCAGACTCCCGTCCTGCCAGGTTGGGGAGGGCTCCGGGAGGGGGCATGTATCCTCTCGGTCGGGCCAAGGTTCAGGCCTTACTTTCTGCCACATTGCCCTAACCAAGACACACAGGAACTGGGATTTGGTGATCTTGACTTCCAGCTGGGAGGATAAATTCGAGCCAATACATGTGTTTCAGATTAATCCCAGTTGTGAGACAAACACCATCCCTCCTCCTCCTCCCAGAACCACACAGCCTCAGGCCACATGGTGGTGGACCTCATGTGCCAGCAGGGAAGGGCACCGCCCTCTTCCCTGGCTCTGAGAGAGAGATTCCCGTGGTCTTCTCCAGGCTCACCCCACCCATGGTGACCCTGCCAGCCCCAGGAAATCTCCTTCCAGTCTTGGACCTTAAACAAATCAGGCCAGGGTGCCCATGCGTCTGATCTCCCTACACTCCAGAAAGACCAACCCTAGCAAAAGAATTCCCTGGCCCCCTTCCTCTCCCATCCACATTCTAAGGGTTGAATTCCTAGTGGCGAGGCGGTAGCCAGGCATTGATGGGGTTTCTGGGAAGGCTGCAACTTTTCTTTGGCCCTGACCCACTTGCTGTGGTGTGTCCCAGGGAGCTGAAAGAGTCAAATGGCCATTTTTCCCAGCACTGGCCCCTGAACCTCCACACCCCCTACACGGACTTGGCCAAGTAGCAGTCATTGGAAGGACTCAAAATCCCCCCTGACACCCCAGCTTTTACACTCAGCTAGGAGGCTCCGCTGTACTCCATCGTCTCCCATCAGGCCAGCGGCTTGGCGCTGCTGGGGTGATAGCTTTGAAATCAGCACCAGTTAGTTTTGAAAAGAAGCAGCAGGGCGCTGGGCCCCAGCCAGGGCTGCAGCGTGGGCTGTCCCGGACTGCCCAGTGGAGGTTCAGCTTAGGGCAGCCTCCTTCCGGTGGGGCTGTGGAGCCCCTCTGAGTCGCTGCTCAGACCTGCCCCTGCAGCTGAGCTCTTGGTCACTCCTACACCCCCGCTCAAGGCTCCCCACTCTCTTCATTCAAGTCTTTGCAGCTTTTCCCTAGTGGTACAGTGGACTGGGAAGAATCGCCTTCTGCTCCTTACCCCTCTCACTTCTGCGCGCTCTCTCTCACTCACCCTGCACCGAAACTGCAGAAGCTGCTGTCTCTCCCCTTCTCCCGTGTTGCTCTTTCCTTCTCCCAGTGTACCCCTGCTCTCCCAGTAGCCCCAGCCCAGGGAGTCTCTCCATCTCCCCCTGGTACTCAGAGTAGCCCGGAGCTGCTTTACCTGTGGGTGTGCTTCAACTCCACGCCCAGCCTAGGTTTCTGGAGCCTGCACAGGGAGGGGGCTCCTGCAAGCACAAGAGTTTTTGTGCCACCTCCCAATCTGGCGTCTAGTAGGCTTCAGATTACAGCTACTCCTTTCTTAAAGCGCCTGCACTCAATTTGGATTCTGTGATTGCATCATTGTCTGGTGTTAACTTTAACCCACTGCTGCCCTTCCCCCACACGCCCCTCCACCCAAGGCACACACATTCACACGCTTGACTTCTCCCCTGACCTTCTTCCACGACCCTGGCTGCCCTCACTTGCTGCCTGCTGGCCCACCCTCAGAGGGCAGCCTGGCCAGCCTCAGGAAGGGGGGCATCGGGGACTGTCTAAGGAAGAGTCTTACAGAAGAGGTCTGGGAGGGGCCTGAAGTGGAGAAACTCTGGGCAGGTACTGGGCCCCTGGGTTTATCCTGGTCTTTCGTTCTGGCACTAACTCCCATAGTCCTTTGCTTTCCTCGCTACAGAATGAAAGGATAGGACTGGGATGTCTGAGTACTTTTTCAGCCCTAGGATTCTGTGATTTTGGAAGATCAGAAAAGGCAATGGGAAGAATAGCTGACCAGAGAAAGAAATGAGATAATCTATAAACACAAGCACCCCAAGGAGGCAGCGTGTGTGCCGGGCACCTCCCTGGCACGCTAGCCCCAAGCAGTGCCCTAGAAAGGAGAGTACCTACACCCTGCTCACCTTGAGGTGTTTAGAAAAGTTGCATTGTGGGCCCTCCCTGGTGGCACA